GGTGGCCCGGCGCATGGTGGAGTACCGAGTGGTGGTTCCGGGGGCGTGCGTTGTCAGTACCAGATCCAGACCGGTCCTCGCCGCGGCTTCGTTTGCGGTAAGATCGGTCATTCCACTCCCCGCTGTTTTCGTCGCCTGGACGACCTGTTTCGTCAGCGCTTCGGCCCGTCGCCAGACCTCCCGGACTGGCACAGCATGCTTAGACGTAGTATTCCGATTTTTGACTTGGACATGGATGCCATTGTTGCTGCTCTGCATGTGATGTATGCTGATGACTCTAGTGTGCTTCCCCCTTATTACTCACTGTCATCTAGTGTAGGTGTGCCTAGCTTAGCCTCCCCTGCTGCGTCAGGCGTAGGATTCCCTGCTTTGTTTAGTCTTGGTGCTTCCGCCGTCGACCCGACGCCAGACGCCTCTGCTTCGCTTTCCTTCACCTTGGACTCTGGCGCTTCCCGGTGCTTCTTCCGCGACTCCACTACATTGACGCTGCTTCCTGTTCCTGCTGCCGTTTCTCTTGCTGACCCCTCCGGCGGTGCGGTAGTCGCCCGCAGTTCCACCACCCTTCCCTGTCCGGCGGTTCCTTCGGGCTCTCTCACAGGTCTGCATATCCCCTCGTTTTCCAGGAACCTAGTTGGTGTCGGCTGCCTCCAGGACCTTGGCGACACCACTACGTTCCCTGGTCACGAGCGGTATGCTGTCTGTACCGAGGCCGCCACTGGTGCCCCCCTGTCCACGTTCCCCCGGGACCCGGTGTCCGGCCTGTTCACTCTGGACACCGTGACCCCCCCCGGCTGGAGCGCTCACCCAAGTTGCTGCTGCCTGCTCCTGTCGGTCCCTCACTCACCTGACTCTCCTTTGGCACCACCGCCTAGGTCACCCTGCGCTCCCGCGTCTGCGTCACATGTCCCAGCACGGTCTTGTCCTTGGTCTCCCAGGTTCTCTCCCTGCGTTTCCCTCCTCCCCAGCCCCACCTTGCACGCCTTGTGTCGAGGGTCGGCTTCGCCGTGCCCCTCACTCCTCCTCGTTTCCCCCTACCGCCGCGCCGCTGCAGACCCTGCACCTGGACGTCTGGGGCCCCGCCCCCGTCCCTGGGCCGCGTCGAGAGCGCTACTTCCTTGTACTTGTCGACAACTTCACTCGTTACACCACAGTCTTTCCCCTGGAGCGCAAGGCCGATGTGCCTGGCGCTCTCATCCCCTGGCTTGTCTCTGCGCGTGTCCACCGCGGTCTCCCTGTCTTGCGTCTTCACTCCGACCGTGGTGGCGAGTTTGCCTCAGGTGTCCTTGGTCGCTTTTGTCGTGCGGAGGGCATCACCCAGACGTTCACCCTACCGGACTCCCCACAGCAGAATGGGGTCGCTGAGCGACGCATCGGTTTGGTCATGGAGGTGGCTCGCACCTCCATGATCCATGCCGGTGCACCCCATTTTCTGTGGCCGTTCGCTGTGCGCTACGCTTCTCACCAGCTTAACTTGTGGCCGCACCCTCAGCAGCGCAGGTTTCACCGACCCGTCTTTGGACTGGGTCTCCTGGTGACGCGTCTGCGTTCCACGTCTGGGGCTGCCTTGCTCACGTCCGTGCCTCCGGCACGGACAAGCTCACTGCCCGCACCCTTCCCTGCGTCTTCCTCGGTTTTCCCCTTGACGCGTCCGACTGGCACTTCTACCACCCGCCGTCTCACCGCTTCTTTCACTCTCGCGACGTCACATTTGACGAGTCCGTCTCCTACTACCGTCGCTTCCCCCACCGCGGTCCCCCGGTTACCCCCCCCCTGTTCCTGGTCACTCCTTCCCCGGTAGTCCCTGCCCCTCCTCCTCCTCCTCCCCGTCCCGCCCCCTCTGGTGTGTCCCACGTCACCCCCCTTCCGTCGGTGGACCCGGTTGAGGAGTCTTCTGACTCTGGTGGCCCTGCTGCGCAGTCCTCGCCGGCCGCCCCTCCCCCGACGTCCCCTCCCCAGTCCCCTCCTCCACCGCCTCTGCCGCCGCTGCAGCCGTCGTGGTCGCTGCCGCCGCCGCCGCCACCGCCGCCGCTGCCGTCGCAGCACCCGTTCGCTGACTCTGGGGGTGCTCGTCCCGGTCGCCCTGGGGGTGGTCCCTCTGGGGGTGCTGGTGTGGAGTGTGCCAGTGGTAGCCGAGGAGCAGCTTGCGGTCCAAGTGTCGTCGTTGTGCCGCCGCAGCAGCAGTCCCCGCCGGTGTCAGCCCTTCGCCTGCTCGGCCTTCCGTCCCCCGACCCTGCGTCTGTTCCTCTGCGACCGTCTCCTCCTCTTCCCGTCTACGGCCCTGTGTTCCCTCCGCCGGACTCGTCCCCGGCCCGTCTTCCCCCTCGTTCCCCTCCTGTGTCCCCTCCCCTGTCTCCTGACCCGACTCCTCCGTCGCACGTCTGGTCTCACCGTCCCTCCCGTGCTCGTCCTGCCTCGCCTGTCTTGCGCTCCCACCCTATGTTGCTTCGTTCCCACGCGTCTCGTCCTCCCCTTCTGCCGTCGTCTCCTCCGTCCTCCCTTGTTGTTGCACCCCCCCCGCTGTCTGACTACCTTCGTGCCGCTCGTCCTCTTGTTCCTCGGGTCCTTGCCTCTCTCGTTACCGACCCGTCTGTTCCGGTCTCGTGCCTTGACGCTCTTGTAGCTGCGGTCGCTGACTTCGCCTCTACCCGCCGCCTTGACTACGCCACCGCTCTGGTCTCTGACCCTGCCTGTCCTCCGTCTGTCGGGGGTGCTCCTGCCCTTGGCAGTGACGTCCTGGAGGACCGCCAGTTCGAGCTTGCTTTCCTGTCCGAGGCTGCTCCCCATCTCTGTTCCATGCTGCTAGTCCCTGAGGGTGACCCAGACGCTTTGGACATCCCGACCCCTCGCACTTACGCTGAGGCGACCTCGGGACCTTGGGCCTCTCAGTGGATAACTGCCATGGAGCAGGAGATGGCATCTTGGAGATCCACCGGCACCTTCGTCGACGCAGTTTCCCCACCTGGGGTGAACGTAGTCGATGGCCGCTGGCTCTTCAAGGTGAAGCGCCCTCCTGGAGAGCCGCCTGTGTTCAAGGCGCGCTATGTGGCTAGAGGCTTCAGTCAGCGTGAGGGGGTGGACTTCTTCCAGACCTTCGCTCCGACCCGGAAGATGACTACTCTTCGGGTTCTGTTACACCTAGCTGCTCAGCGTGACTACGAGCTTCACTCCCTCGACTTCTCCACTGCCTTCCTTCAGGGCAGCCTACACGAGCAGGTCTACTTGCGTCGTCCTCAGGGCTTTACTGGCACCTTCCCTCCTGGGACCCAGTGGCTCCTGCGGCGCCCCGTCTACGGCCTGCGCCAGGCTCCCCGTGAGTGGCACGACACTCTCCGTGCTACGCTTGCTGACCTGCAGTTCTTTCCGTCTTCCGTAGACCCCTCACTCTTCATTCGTGCTGGCCAGACTCCGTTCTACATCCTTGTTTACGTAGACGACCTGGTCTTTGCCACAGCAGACAGGGACGCACTGGCCTCCGTGAAGGCAGAGCTGCTGAAGAGACACACCTGCACTGACCTTGGAGAACTGCGCCGCTACCTTGGCTTGCAGATCTCCAGGGACAGAGCATCGCGCACCATCATCCTGACCCAGTCACACTTGGTGCGCCAGGTCCTTCAGAGGTTCAGCCTTCAGTTCTCCTCTGCACAGCCCACCCCTCTGCCTGTAGAACACAGACTCTCCGCTCCTGTGTCTGAGGAGTCGGTAGAGCCCAGCGGCCCCTACGCAGAGCTGGTGGGTTGCCTCATGTACCTGATGACTTGCACTCGCCCAGATCTCGCATACCCTCTCAGCATCCTGGCTCGCTTTGTGGCCACAGGCAGACACCGACCGCAGCACTGGTCTGCCGCTAAGAGGGTTTTGCGTTATCTTGCTAGTACATCGGGCATGGGGTTAGTGCTAGGAGGACGCAGGCCAGTGGTCCTTACTGGACACACAGACGCTTCGTGGGCAGACGACGCCGAGACTCTCAGGTCTACCCAGGGCTACTGCTTCAGCCTTGGCTCAGCCGTGGAGAGCTACCCGCTCCTCGTCTGTTGCCCAGTCCAGCTATGAGGCTGAGATCTACGCTGGTGCCGTGGCGGCACAGGAGCTCCGATGGCTGACCTTCTTGCTCACCGACTTAGGTGAGCGGCCTAGCTCTGCCCCGGTCCTGTTCGCTGACAACAGGGCCATGATCCTCCTGTGTCAGGAGCCTCGACTCGAGGGCAGAGCGAAGCATATTCAGCTGCGGTACTTCCTCCTGCGTGAGCTACAGCAGCGACGTCAGGCCCGCGTAGTACACTTGGCCTCAGGTGCCAACACAGCTGATATCTTTACGAAGGCGCTTGCGCCTAAAGATCATCAGCGGCACTGTGTACAGCTTGGTCTAGTTCCTGTAGCCTCTCACTTGCTAGGGCCTTGACTTTGTACTGTCCTTTATATGTATACTCAGACTGGACTTGTGTACTCTCCCAGTGGCTGGACTAGTAGTACCGCCCTGGTCTTGTTCTCGCCTTGTCTGTACTCCTTCTGACTGGTCTCTTAGACCCTTGTCTCAGAGGTTGGACTAGTAGTGCCGCCCTGAGCTGCTTGTTTAGGGTATTCCCCTATGCAGTCTAGGGGGTGTGTCAAACATGTGTATTTGTTATGTTTGCATAGACTGTATAGGGTCATCTCTTAGAGGGTACAATACTTAGGTATATCTTTTTGTACTCTCCCTCGATCTAATTATTCACTTCTCTCAGTTTGATACACTGACCCGCTATTAACAAGCCCTTTTAACTCAGTGGTTAGTGGCTGAGTTTCAGACATGGTATCAGAGCGTTGGTGACTCGGGTTCAATTCCCTACGCTAGCGCTGCAGAGGCGCTCGTGTCCTCCGCCTATCCCCGCGAGAGGGGGTGTCGAGAGACCCGCTGGGGTTACCCTTGAGAAGATCATCAGGGAAGGGCCACAGGTGCAGAGCCTGGGGGGCTATGGGCACACTGACCCGCTATTAACAAGCCATTTTAACTCAGTGGTTAGTGGCTGAGTTTCTGACAATAACTCCCTCACGCCCTCGCAACCCAGAAATGGCTAAGTCCCCCACAAGAGACATGCCTCCCACCCACACCCCCGCTATTATTATTATTATTATTATTATTATTATTATTATTATTATTATTATTATTATTATTATTAGTATTAGTATTATTATTATTATTATTATTATTATTATTATTATTATTATTATTATTATTATTATTATTATTATTATTATTATTATTATTATTATTATTATTATTATTATTATTATTATTATTATTATTATTATTTTCCTCGCTAAGTCCTTTATACCACAGCAAGACACGTCACGTCGTATACCCCCTTCTGACGCCCAACCAATCACAAGCCGGTGGTTTTTTTCCCGCCCCTCTGCCGCCCATGTAAATCTGATTCCCCTCTCGCGCCCCAAAATCGTTTTCCGTCCCATCCCCCAAAAATCTTCCCAAGCACGCGCAAATCCGATACAGAATACACTTCTTTCCACGCCTCAGTGCTGCCCACTTCATTCATGTAAAATGTTCCTTAAATGGCCAAGACTAGAAAGGGTGTAAAGAGTTCTACACTTAAAGCAAAGACTTAAAAAAAAATTACCCTGCCAAATCAGACTTAGAATTTTTTTAGCTCTGACCGTCAGGGTTTCTCTTTTTTCCGACTCTGATTTCAAAGAGTGGCCTAAAACCAATTTTGGGCCCTGGTTTTGTTCTAACATATTGTACTCTCTATGAGCATGCATCTATCTAGCCTAAAACATATACAAATATATGCAGACACACCCCCTAGGCTAGACAAGGCACGAGACACGCAGCTCATGGTGGCACTACTAGTCCAACCTTTGAGGCAAGGGTCTGGAGACCAGTCTGCAAGAGTACAAACAAAACAAAAGCAACCCTGGACGGCACTACTAGTCCAGCCACTGGAACAGGAGCCACACGGCCAGTCAAGGTAATATAAGATATAGTACACAATCAAGGTCCTAACTCTCAGAGTAAAAAGTTAACTAGAATGAGGCATACATGCTGATTTTGTTCATGTGTAACACCCTCTAAGAGCATGCACCTATCTAGCCTATTATAATACTGTATGTACAAATATGTTTGACACACCCCCTATGCTAGATAAGGGGCAGTGCCTAGAAAACAACACACAGCTCAGGATGGCACTACTAGTCCAACCTCTGAGGCAAGGGTCTGAAGACCAGTCAGCATGAGTACAAGCTAAACAAGAGCAACCCAGGGCGGTACTACTAGTCTAGCCACAAGGATAGAAGCCACAAAGCCAGTCAAGAGAATATAAAAGGAGTACACAATCAAGGTCCTAGCAAGTGAGAAGCTACAGGAACTAAACCAAGCTGTACACAGCGCCGCTGATGATCCTTAGGCGAAAGCGCCTTCGTAAAGATATTAGCTACATTGGCACCGGAGGCCAAGTGTACTACGCGGGCCTGGCGGCGCTACTAAAGCTCGTGCAGGAGGAAGTACCGCAGCTGGATGTGCTTCACTCTGCCCTCAAGTCGAGGCTCCTGACACAGGAGGATCATGGCCCTGTTGTCAACGTACAGGACCGGGGCAGAGCTAGGCTGCTTAGCTAAGTCAGTGAGCAAGAAGCTCAGACAGCGGAGCTCCTGTGCCGCCATGGCACCAGCATAGATCTCAGCCTCACAGCTAGACTGGGCAACAGAAGACGAGCGGGTGGACCTCCACGAGATGGCACCTGAACCAAGGCTAGAGCATTAACCCTGGGAGGACCTGAGGGTCTCAGCGTTGTCTCCCCAAGAAGCGTCTGTGTGTCCAGTAAAGACCACTGGCCTGTGTCCTCCTAGCACAAGCCCCATGCCCGATGTATTTGCTAGATAACGCAAAACCCTACAAACAAGTGCTGTGGTCGGTGTCTGCCTGTGGCCACAAGGCGAGCCAAGATGCTGAGAGGGTATGCGAGATCTGGACAAGTGCAAATCATGAGGTACATGAGGCAACCCACCAGCTCTGCGTAAGGACCACTAGTCTCTACTAACTCCTCAAGAACAGGAGCTGAGGGCCTGTGGTCTACTAGCAGAGGTGTGGGCTGTGCGGAGGAGAACTGAAGACCGAACCTCTGAAGGACCTGGCGCACCAAGTGTGACTGTATGAGAGTGATGGTGCGCGCTGCTCTGTCCATGGAGATCTGCGGGCCAAGGTAGCGGTGCAGCTCTTCTAGGTCAGTGCAGGTGTGTCTCTTCAGCAGCTCTGCCTTCACGGAGGCCAGCGCGTCCTTGTCTGCAGTAGCAAAGACCAGGTCGTCTACGTAGACAAGGATGTAGAACGGGGTCTGGCCAGCATGAACGAAGAACGAGGGGTTTGTAGAGGACGGAAAGAAGTCCAGGTCAGCTTGCGTAGTACGCAGAGTGTCGTGCCACTCACAGGGCGCCTGACGCAGGCCGTAGACCGGGCACCGGAGGTGCCACTGGGTCCCATGAGGGAAGGTACCGGTGAAGCCCTGTGGACAGCACAGGTAGATCTGCTCGTGTAGACTGCCGGACAGAAACACTGTGGAGAAGTCGAGGAAATGGAGCTCGTAGTCACGCTGTGCTGCTATGTGTGCAGCGCCCAAAGAGTAGTCATCTTCGGGGTCGGGGCGAAGGTCTGAAAGAAGTCCACCACCTCGCGCCAACTAAAGCTTCTAGCCACGTAGCGCGCCTTGAACATAGGTGGCTCTCATGGAGGGCGCTTCACCTTGAAGAGCCATCGGCCATCGAAAACGTTCACCCCAGGTGGGGGAACTGCGTCGACGTAGGTGCTGGTGGATCTCCAAGATGCCATCTCCTACTCCATGGCAGCTATGCACTGAGAGGCCCAGGGTCCCGAGGTCGCCTCAGCGTAAGTGCGAGGGGTCGACATGTCAAAGGCGTCAGGGTCACCCTCAAGGACTAGCAGCATGGAAGAGAGATGGGGAGCAGCCACGAACAGGAAAGCAAGCTCGTACTGCCTGTCCTCTAGGACGTCACTACCAAGGGTAGAAGCATCCCTAATGGACGGAGGGCAGGCAGTACCAGAGACAAGAGCTGTGGCGTCGTCAAGGTGGTGGGTAGAGGCGAAGTCAGTGGCAGTAGCGACAAGATCGTCAAGACTCGAGACAGGAACAGACGGGTCGCTAACGAGGAAGGCACAGCACGAAGGTAGTCAAACAGAGGGGGAGGTGCGACAGAGAACGACGACGGAGGAGGAGACGGGAGGAGGGGAGGACGAGACGCATGGGAACGAAGCACTATAGGGTGAGAACGCGGAACAGGAGAGACATGACAAGCACGAGAGGGATGGCGAGACCAGATGTGAGACGGAGGCGTCAAGTCAGGAGACAGAGGAGGAGACACAAGAAGGAAACAAGGCGGGAAACGGGCCAGGGACGAGTCCGGCGGAGGAAACACAGGACCATGGACTAGCACCCTCCTCAACGTCAGCACCCCCAGAGTCCACGAACGGCTGCTACTGCTGCGACGGCGGCGGATGTTGCGATGGCGGCCACTGGTGCTGCTGCGGCTGCAATAACGGCTGTTGCTGCGACTGCGAGGATGGAGGAGGGGACACCGGGGAAGAGGCAGGTGGCAAAAACTGTGCCGCGTGGCCACCGGAGTCAGCCGACTCCTCGACCGCGACAAGCGACGGGAGGGGAGTGACGTGAGACACACCACACGGAGCAGGACGAGGAGGGAGGGGAGCTTGTCAGACGAGTCAAGGGGGAAGCCAAGGAAGACACACGGGACAGTGCGGGCAGTGAGCTTGTCCGTGCCAGAGGCACGAACATGAGCAAGGCATCCTCAGACGTGGAACGCAGACGCGTCACTAGGAGACCCGGTCCAGAGGAGGGCTGGCAAAACCTGCGGCCGCTGGGAGTGGGGCCACAGGTTCAGCTGGTGAGCGGCGTAGCGAAAAGGGAACGGGCACAGAAAACGGGGTGCACTCGCATAGATCATGGCCACCTCTATGACCAAACCGATGCGTCGCTCAGCATCCCCATTCTGCTGTGGGGAGTCCGGTAGGGTATATGACTGGGTGATACCCTCCGCATGACAGAACTGGCCAAGCCGACCGGAGGCAAACTCACCATCACGGTCAGAGTGGAGGCACAACACAGGGAGACCTCGGTGAACTCGCGCAGCTATGACTCACAGGATAAGAACGTCAGGCATGTCGGCCTTCCGCTCCAGATGAAACACCGTGGAGTAGCGCGTGTAGTCGTCGACAAGCACCAATAAGTAGCGCTCTCGACATGGCCCGAGGGACGGGGGCTGGACCCCATACGTCCAGGTGCAGGGTCTGGAGTGGCGCGGTGGCAGGGCGAAGCAAGGAGGAGTGAGGAGCATGGCGCAGCCGACCCTCGACGCAGGGCGTGCATTGCGGCGCAGGCGAGGGAGGGAGCGAAGGGAGCGATGTAGAGAGACCTAGGACAAGACCATGCTGGGGCATGTGACGTAGACGCGGGAGTGCAGGGTGACCTAGGCGATGATGCCACAGCAGCGACAGGTGAGTGTGCGACCGACACGAGCAAGCCGCGGCTACCTAGGGGGACGCCCTCACCGGGGGGGACGCATTGTCTAGCGTAAACAGGCCAGACACAGGGTCCCAAGGGAACGTCGCAAAGGTGGGACCTGAGGCAGCCTCAGTGCAGATACCGTACCACTCGTGACCAGCGAACGTGGTGGTGGCGCCGAGTTCCTCAAGACACCCGAGACCAAAGAGGTTCCTAGGGAAAGAGGGGAAGTGCAAGCCTGTAAGAGTGCCCGAAGGGGCCGCTGGACAGGGAAGGGTGGTGGAGCTACGGGCAACTACCGGAACGGAGGAGGGGTCTGCAAGTGCGATGGTGGCAGGGGCGGAAAGCAGCGTAAGGGAAGTGTGGTCGCGGAAGAAGCAAGTAGACGCACCGGAGTCAAACGTGAAGGAGAGCGAAGCACTAGCGGCTGCTGGCGGAGGGGCTAGTGTGGAGCCTAGGCTAAACAAGGCAGACGGTCCTACGCCTGACACAGCAGGGGAGCCTAGACTACACATAGTGGACACACCTGCTCTATGCAACACTGGGTAATAGGGTCCAATCATGCTAGAGTCATCAGCATATATGACAGACATAGCATTCCTAGTCCGATCCACGTCAAGCTCAAAGAATGGCCATGGCGTACTAGTCCGGAGGGTCCGACGCAGGAACGAAGCGGTGACGGAATAGGTCGTCAAAGCAGCGGTAGCAGCGGTCGGTGGTGTGGCTGAGCCCGAGGTAGACAGTGCCGCGGCGAGGGCCGGTCTGAAGCTGGTACTGGCAGATGACCGCGCTGGAGCTGCC